AATGGCTGGGCCTGTGGAAAAACCTGCACAAGAGTTCAACGGGGAACGGGAGTCCCCCAGCGAACCCTCCGACAAACAAGTTAGAAAGGAGAGAATGATGGAATGTCCAGAGAGAATGGTGATAAGGAACTTAACCTTCATTTTGTCTTAGAAACCTGCTTATATCCTTTGCTCATCATTTCCTTGTCTACTCCGACCTGTCATGTTAGCCGAAAGCCTATGTCTTAGCTTGCCTTGTTCATGGTGAAGCTACTCTGTCCCGACGTGAGGGGTTATCGCATTAAATGCTGCAAGGAAACCCATTAATGACTGGTGCGTGGTGCAATAACTCTGCAAGATTTTTGTCTGTTTATGTAGTTTGTTCTTCTCTTAACAAGTGTTCAGATGTTATTGGTCCTTGGTGCAACGCCGGACTTTTTAGTGTTTAAATTATGTATTGGGCTATAAGTGGTGGGCCAAAAGTCCCTATAGGCCCACCTATGTCAGTTTTTATTACCGTCACTCTTGTACTTTATCAACAAAGCGTGAATTAACCACCTTTCAAGTATTCCTTTGTAGAAAAAATTGTTGCATATCAATAGCGTACATACTTTCTATTACCATCGCTCTAATCTTGTATTCTCTTCCAAACATAAACATAAATAAAAATAAAAATATATTATTAGATATTCTTAGATTATGATATAATAGTGTTTACGTAGTACTAAATATGTTATCTTTTCTCGTAACTATCTAATAATGTGAGTAATATCATATAGTTTTCTAAGATTATTGAATAATTATTCAATAAATATAATGGACCTCACATTATCTAAGTTAATCATCACCACTTTGCCAACACCCTTCAAAATATAATTTGACTTTACTTATGTGTTATTCCTCACAAATGAATAATAACAAAACATATCAAGTTATCATTTGTTTTTCAATTACTTGACAAAAATGAGTCAACGTTGTACCTTTAAAAAATTTTCGTCTCAATAACAAAAAATGTTTGAGACTCGTAGACTCACTCCCCTAATTTGACTTCTAATAATGTGATATAATAAGTATTAAGTTTTGATTTGTGATACACTCATTATATAAGATCCAACTCTCTTACCACATAATTGTAGATGTATTATGGATCTAAAATTATAAATCTCTAATATTTTTGAACTATTTAATATGCCCTAAAAGCACATATCAACAAAATTTATTTTTTATTACATCATTAATTAAAAACACTTTATAAAATAAAAAATATCACATAATATTATAAAAGTACTAAATAATTCGCTTTAAAAAGTCAGAGTTGCGCGCCAAATTTTCAAAAAAGGCAGCTTGCATTTTTTTGTCGAAGCAGGTAAGGTCTTGCCATCTTAGCTATATTTGGCATGGATTTGTTTTTTTGTTTTTTTTTGGTTGCTATTTTACTAATTGTTGGCTACATATTTTGTAAAAGCCAGTTACAGATCGACACGTGGCATAGTAAGGGTAATAAAGGAAAGTTATTCAAGCCTTTAATCCTAATCGTACACGTGGCAATAAATATTGGTCCTCACATGATCTGAGTAACACTAGATCAAATAACGGGATGCAAGCTGACGTGTCTTCAACGGTTACTCATATTCAAATCCAAGTACAAGAGGGAAGCTCAACTGCCAGTAATGGCGTAATGGAGCTACTTGTAAGGAAGCATGATCAGCGATCATGGAGGAGCAGTTCGACGGTTCGAAGTGCAGTTCGAAGGTCATCACTGACGAGTATAAATAGCAAGACAGCCCCCAGAAAAAGGGAGGGACTCAGATCAGACAAATCAGTCATTTACTTCATATATTTTCTTTTCCAGTCTTTACATTCCCAGTCTTTAAATACCTGTACTTTAAATACCCGCACTGCACTTCGATTCATAGGAGTAGCTTCGAGTAGATTCAAGTAAATTGCTGTTGTAAACCTCTCCGAGGCTGAGTTCGGACCATTGTAAGTGTTCATTTCTATGAAATACTTCAATTGTTCTTCATATTACTGTTTTCTCTCTTAATTTCTCCTAAGTCAAGCCACCAGTAAAAGTCCTCTTCATTGAGGCTGAAAAGAACTAAAACACAATCGTCTGATAATTGGTTGGCAATCACAATTTCTGTAAGGACTGATTGATCCTTGCTGGCACGCTCACATTTACACAAATACCCTTCGAAAAGCCAAAAAGCCAACACTAATAAAAAGATAAAATAAATTAAAAAAATTAATAAGACAAAATATTACATCTAAAATATAATTATTTTATTTTTTCTTTCATAAAAATAAAAAATGCCAAAAAAGCTCATCCCAAACAAAAGCTTTATTTTCCTCACATCACAGTTAATGTTAAGATTTTGTTGTATTTTTTATTTGTTTTTAAAATTTGATTTTTGATTTTTGATTTTTTTTTTAAAAAAATTAATTTAATGAAAAAATAATAAATAAAAAATACTCATTGTTTTCCATATAATTTTATCTTCTTTTTATTGAAAATAATTTTTTTTAAACCTTTTTAATATTTTATTTTTGTCACACTAATTTCTAAGTTTAACATTTTATTATATATATAAAAAAATTATTATTATTTGATGTGACACATAATGAAGTCCACTTCCAAAAAAAACAACACTATTTCATAATTTTATCCATCTGAATTTTAAAAAATAAAAATTAGGTTTAAGATGATTTTTAAAAAAATGTTCCTTAAAATTGGATTTGTTTAGAAATGAAAATAACAATTCATGATGATGACATCTTCGCCATTTATATGTATCTTGTATTAAAAAAATTAAACATATTATAACTTTAATTCTCTAAATTTATTTTTAATAAAATTAATGTTTTTAAATTTCTTTTTTTGAGATCTTTACAACAATATCTATATTGCATATATGGTTTTGAAGGGAAAAAAATTAACAAATATATATATATATGAAGTACTAATAAATTTTAAAATATAGTTTTGTGAACTGTCTACTTTTTTTTTTTTTCCTTATGAATTTTTCCCCTTATGAATCTAAAACTTATATTAAAGTGAAAATTACACAAAAAGATAGTCACTTATATATTTGGGTTTAATTTTTGAGTGATAAAAATGAGTTTCTCCAAATATGAAATTATACATTTAGGCAATCTACATTGTAAATGTTTTGAATTTTTCAGCATTTTGGAACAAATCCAACATTACAAATAATAGTGTAACATTCCAATATAACATACTAAAAAATTACTTAGTGTACTTTTTCCAAATGTAATAAAGTAATACTAAAAAAAAAAAAAATTTCTTAATATACTTTTCCAACATAACATTCTTATCAATGTAATTACAAATACAACGCTCCAATGTAACACAAAAAATACTAAAAAATTTCTTAGTGTACTTTTTTCAAATGTAACACTAACAGTTTGAAATTATACATTTGTCTAAAGCTTACTAAAGAATTTTTGAACTCATTTTGGAATGGTTTGAAGAATCTCACATCCCACATCCTTTTTTTAGCCTCCGTTTGGGAAGTGGATTGACTTTTTGACTTTTTGATTTTTTTGACTTTTTTGACTTTTTTAGCTTGGGCTAAAAAGCTTGGTTTGGGAAGGACTTTTTGACTTTTTGGTTTTTTTGTGAGAGAAGAATGTAATGATTATGAGTTGGATGTGATGTTTTGTTTGTTGTGGCTAAAATAGCCAAAAAAACCCCATTTAGCTCTTGCCAAACAAACCCTATTGGATTGCTACGTTTGAAAAAAAATACACTAACGTTTTTTTATATGTTACATTGGAGTGTTACGCTAAGAAATTTTTGAGAATATTATATTGGAGTGTTACGTGTGAAAAAAGTATATTAAGGAGTTTTTTTTTAATGTTACATTGAAATGTTACGTTTTAGTGTTAAAGTTTAAAATTATATATATGCCAAAAACTTATTATGTTTGAAGAATCTCACACCCTTTTGAAATCTTTGAAGAATCTCGCATTTTAAAAAATTCATCCCAAATTTAATTCCTATTGATTGTGTGTCTTACCTTTCTAATACCAAAGAAAAAAATAAAAAATAAAGAAATAAAAAACATAATAAAAATAAGGATATAACCGTAAATTTAATTTCTAAATAATATATTAAATCTACCTTTCCAAAATCAATGGGACTAATTGGTCTATAAAAAAATTCTTGGAACTAAACAGATCACCATTCCTCAAGATGTGATTTATAAGTAAATTTTCCTATGTAAATCCCTAACTATGTTTATCAAAGATGTATTTTCTAAGTTAAAAGTAATTAATAAAACAAAATAATCCATCACATATCACCCTTTACATTTTAAAATATCTTTTTATAAAAAATTAAAAAATCAATTAAAATATGGCATACATACACATACATACGCTCCCTCAACTATCACTTTACTCCATTATTGATAAATTTCAATAATATCATCAATTTAAATGAAAAAAATTGAGAAAATGAAACAAAATATGAAAAATTAAAAATATAATTTCGATTGTAAAAAAAAATCTGAGAGAATCTCAATTGAGACAGAAAAAGAGATGCTCTTTCTTTTCAACTTCAAATCATTGAAATCTAAAAATTATGAAATATGTTGGATAATTTCTACGCAAAAAGAGAGGAAAATCAACAAATAATTAAGATATTTATCAACACACGTTCCAACAACACTCGTACTCAGATTAGCTACCCAGAGTTCCACCTTAGCTAACAATTCACATTCCAACAGCCCTCTCTGCTTTAACTATTCCCTTTAAAATATTAATAAATACAAGCACAGGGGGAAAGAGAGACAGGGGCAGGGACACAGAGCTTCGTCTGCGATGGTGAGTAGGTCGACGTGGATCGCCCTCGTTGCGTTCTTGTCCGCCGTCGATCGTGACTCGTTTAGCGTCGATTCTCCTCCTCCGGCGTTGATTCTCCTCCTCCGGCTCGATCGTCCTCCTCTGGTGTTGATTTTCCTCCTCGTGCTCGATCGTCCTCCTCTGGCGTTGATTCTCCTCCTCCAGTTCGATCGTCCTCCTCTGGCGTTGATTCTCCTCCTCCAGTTCGATCGTCCTCCTCTGGTGTTGATTTTCCTCCTCCGGCTTGGCCCTCCTCCTCCGGCATTGATAGTGAGTTGTCCGGCGTCGATCGTCGATCGTAAGCAAAGCTTGGAGTGCTCGAAAGAAACTAATAAAAAATTGAGAGGCTACTGAACAGTGCCTCGTCTTCCCTGGCGAGGCACTGTAGCTGAAAATCAAAGTAGCTAGCCAAGCTAGCCACCAGCGAGGCTGCTGGAGATGAATTTTCTGCCTTTAGCTAGCTATAGTAATAAAAATAGAGGAATAGAGAGGCTTCTGGAAGATTGGAAAAACCGATATCAACATTCCTAATTCCTTAATCAATCATTCCTTAATTAACTAATTCCTTAATCAATCATTCCTTAATTGATCAACTTTCATTCAAATTCCTCTCTGCAATCGCTCTCTCTCTCTCTCCCTCTCTAAATGAATATATATATATTCGCATACACACAGCTATTCAGTACGCTGTTGTAGTTATTGCATTGGAGAATTTCTTATTGCTGATTTTCTTGTCGCTTCTTATGATATTTCTTCAGAGGATGAATCGACTTTCAGGTTCTCCTTCACCTTACGTCCTGTGTTTGTTTATCAATTCAGTGTAAGTTTTTACAAAAAAGTACAGTGAATAATTAAAGTCTTGAAACTCTTTTAGGAATTTGTAATAATTTTCTAAAAGTACCATTGAATGGTAATTTCTCTTAAAAAGTATATGAATGAAAGATGAATATAAACATACATGTTCGTCGAGTTTTAAATTTTTGAATAAGTTTGATTTGTCACATGATAAATTTTAGGTTCATCAGCAGTTGTGTTTAAGTAACGCCTGTGACCACGTTGCTGATTCATTCCTTGATATGGTGGATGGGAGATGTTCAATTTTTTTTATTTTTTTAATTGGTAAAAAAAAAAATTATTGATAAATTTAGACAGTAAAAAGTTTACATCGCCAAATAAATCAATAAAAAAAGAAGCTTGGTGACCAACAATGTTTGAGTTGGTGTGTATTTTTGAAGGTTTTTCCAAGAAGTTCCATTAGAGATGCTGGTCTAAATTTTGTGCTCTGTTTCTGTTTGTAATGTTATCGAAAATAAAAAATTAATGAATCTATTTAAATTGTATTACATTTCTGTGCACGCATATGTTTATGAATTGCATATATACCTGTCCAATATCTTTGTTCTTGGATTTTTTTATTTTTGGTATGATTTTCTTGGATTTTATGCGTACATGTAACATGCATTTGAAGTAGTTGGTGGGAGAAAATTAGAAGGGCGTAAATCTTCCTCGGGAAAATCCGGTGTGGGCTCCTCTTCACACCCTGGTTATAATGTTAAGAACACGACACTTCGTGCATCACTGAACAAAGATGTAACACCTGATAATAATCAAAATGCCATGAGAGCGCCTCAAGCAAATTGTGACAAAGTAAGAAAGTCAAATATGTCCAAGGAATCTACTGCTAAGACTCGGGATTTGACTTTTAAATCTGGATGTGGAAGTAAAACCAATGCTGTTGCAAAGTCAACCCACCTAGAAACTGTAAAATCAAAGGTGAGAAGCTACAACATTTTGATTAATGACACCAAACTAGTGCAAAATCTTGAAGAAATCTCGAATTACTGTTGACTTACTCATCAGCAAACACGGTTCTATCAAAGAGGAATAGACTTTCCAATACCTCCAAACCAATAGTATGGAGAAGAAGAACATTCAATTATCTCCTTGGATTTGCTCAGTAATTTTATACTATCACCGGAGAAGAAGAACATTCAATTATCTCCTTGGATTTGCTCAGTAATTTTATACTATCACCACCACCTCGGTTTAAATGACATCACTTAAAAAACTTTTCTTCATTTTTACGTACATATACATCAACGATAAATTGTATGTATATATATAAAATTTATTTTGACTTTTTTTGTGTGATGATGTGTATGAAACTTTTCATAGTCATTGTTGCGACATGCTTTAGCTAGATATAGTGATCTATCTGCCTGGAATTTTCATTTCATTCACTGTTATTAATTTCCTATGTCAAATGTGTTACAAACAGATTAAATAACTTCAATTTGATGATGGTATTATTATCCCATGAAAAAAAAAAAAACAGAATAATTGATGATATTCTAAACATAAAATTAAACAGGGACTTTGAATATTTTGTTGATTACTTTTTTATTTTTCTTTTTGTCCATTTTTTTTTTAAAAATTTACTCGGTTGCTGATCTTTCGAAGTAATTTAAGGCATCATTTCTGGCAAGATTTCTAATTCTAATTTTCATGTCTTATTGTTGAAGGCATCATTTTTGGCATCATTTCTAATTCTAATTTTCATGTCTTATTGTTTATCATAGTGTTAAGACTAATAATCAATCCATTAGAATAGGCTTGTGTTTCTAATTCTTCGGTTACTTTCGGGGATGGGAGCAAAATTTTAAAAACCTTAATATTTTACAGTAGTTCCCTTATGGTAGGTCTGAATTTCTGATATCGTTTTATTTGTGAGATATTTCATAGTTTTGCATCATCTTTGACTCTACCAATTCCTGATAACTAACACGTCAATATTTAAAGGACTCTAATTTACTTAGGCTGCATGAAAAACCACCAACAAATCTCAGTTTCTGCATCAACATTAGGAATAATTCTGCAGTTACTTGAACTGATACATTCTTCCATTTTCAATTTTAGCCTGAAACACTTTATTCTTGAATTCATTTTTACATCAGTGTCGGAGAAAATAGATGAGCAAGAAGGTTTCAAGCTGTTTGGGACCACAGATTCGCGTGAACCTGAAAATGCAGCAGAAATACTCGAGGAAAGGGAGCAAAAGCTCTTATTTTATGAATCCACTGAGTTGGGAAGAGCAAGCAACTTGCGCAAAAGTTTAGATTGGGATAGTGGCTTTCTCACCAGAGCAGGTATGGTTTTACAACAAATCTGAAATATTTGGAGCCTTGTGCCAATGTTAACTCCTCTGTTTCTGTTTGTAATGTTATCGAAAATAAAAAATTAATGAATCTATTTAAATTGTATTACATTTCTGTGCACGCATATGTTTATGAATTGCATATATACCTGTCCAATATCTTTGTTCTTGGATTTTTTTTTATTTTTTTATTTTTGGTATGATTTTCTTGGATTTTATGCGTGCATGTAACATGCGTTTATGTTTCGAGTTGTCTTTCTTATGGGAGGGAAGTTGACCATCTCTTTTGAATTTTTTGAAGTGAATTCAATGAGGGCATTTGATGTAGTGATTGTTTAGCACCTCTTGTAAAATCTCTAGTTTAATTTCAATAGAAATGAGTTTAATACTCTGTGTGTGTTAGTTAATTTCTCCCCCATATTGTTTTATTTTTATTTTTATTTTTATATTCTATCTATTGAAAATTGGAACAATATTTTATTTTTTTTAGTATAACTGCATCAAATATTTATATATATATATATTTTTTACATTGTCAATATTTTTTACATCGTCTCTGTGTGTATTATATATATATATATATATATCTATTTGCTCTATCAAAGAGGAATAGACTTTCCAATTCCTCCAAACCAATAGTATGGAGAAGAACATTCAATTATCTCCTTGGATTTGCTCAGTAATTTTATACTATCACCACCACCTCGGTTTAAATGACATCACTTAAAAGACTTTTCTTCATTTTTACGGACATATACATCAACGATAAGTTGTATGTATACATATAAAATTTATTTTGACTTTTTTTGTGTGATGTCGTGTATGAAGCTTTTCATAGTCATTGTCGCTATATGCTTAGCTAGATATAGTGATCTATCTGCCTATAATTTTCATTTCATTCACTGTTATTAATTTCCTATGTCAAATGTGTTACAAACAGATTAAATAACTTCAATTTGATGATGGTATTATTATCCCATGAAAAAAAAAAACAGAAAAATTGATGATATTCTAAACATAGAATTAAACAGGGACTTTGAATATTTTGTTGATTACTTTTTTATTTTTCTTTTTGTCCATTTTTTTAAAAAAATTTACTCGGTTGCTGATCTTTTGAAGTAATTTAAGGCATCATTTCTGGCAACATTTCTAATTCTAATTTTCATGTCTTATTGTTGAAGGCATCATTTTTGGCATCATTTCTAATTCTAATTTTCATGTCTTATTGTTTATCATAGTGTTAAGACTAATAATCAATCCATTAGACTAGGCTTGTGTTTCTAATTCTTCGGTTACTTTCGGGGATGGGAGCAAAATTTTAAAAACCTTAATGTTTTACAGTAGTTCTCTTATGGTAGGTCTGAATTTCTGATATCGTTTTATTTGTGAGATATTTCATAGTTCTGCATCATCTTTTGACTCTCCAATTCCTGATAACTAACACGTCAATATCTAAAGGACTCTAATTTACTTAGGCTGCATGAAAAACCACCAACAGATCTCAGTTTCTGCATCAACATTAGGAATAATTCTGCAGTTACTTCAACTGATACATTCTTCCATTTTCAATTTTAGCCTGAAACATTTTATTCTTGAATTCATTTTTACAGCAGTGTCGGAGAAAATAGAAGAGCAAGAAGGTTTCAAGCTGTTTGGGACCACAGATTCGCGTGAACCTGAAAATGCAGCAGCAATACTCGAGGAAAGGGAGCAAAAGCTCTTATTTTATGAATCCACTGAGTTGGGAAGAGCAAGCAACTTGCACAAAAGTTTAGATTGGGATAGTGGCTTTCTCACCAGTGCAGGTATGGTTTTACAACAAATCTGAAATATTTGGAGCCTTGTGCCAATGCTAACTCCTCTGTTTTTGTTTGCAATGTTATCGAAAATAAAAAATTAATGAATCTATTTAAATTGTATTACATTTCTATGCACGCATATGTTTATGAATTGCATATATACCTGTCCAATATCTTTGTTCTTGGATTTTTTTTATTTTTTTATTTTTGGTATGATTTTCTTGGATTTTATGCGTGCATGTAACATACGTTTATGTTTCGAGTTGTCTTTCTTATGGGAGGGAAGTTGACCATCTCTTTTGAATTTTTTGAAGTGAATTCAATGAAGGCATTTGATGTAGTGATTGTTTAGCACTCTTGTAAAATCTCAGGTTTAATTTCAATAGAAATGAGTTTGATACTCTTTGTGTGTGTTAGTTTATTTCTACCCCATATTGTTTTATTTTTATTTTTTCTAGAAATCCAAAGTCTGACTCGACTTCGCCAAATTAGAGTGTTTCCTAATTATAGATAAATAAAGAAAAATAGTCTATCCTAAAAGATTTATGACAATTACTTTTTAATTTATATATATTTTTATTTATGGTCGTATCCTTTAACATAATCCATATCCTACTTTTTCAAAATTTGTATCGATGTATCCATATTGTGTCATACCTCTATCTTGTATCCCTCTGTCCATGCTTTATAAATTGTAACTAGTCACCTAATCTCGGCCAATACAATGCTTTGTACATATGTCTTAAAGTGAGATAACATAAGTATATTTGAAGAAATACTCTGTAATAATCTGATTGTAGGTTATATGGTACGTGAATGATATTTCTCTGCTCCATGTAGGCATGTTTATATTCTAATTCTAATTTTCATGTCTTATTGTTTATCATTGTGTTAAGATTAATAATCAATCCATTAGAATAGACCTGCGTTTCTAATTCTTCAGTTATTTTCGGGGATGGGAGCAAAATTTTAAGAACCTTAGTATTTTACAGTAGTTCCCTTATGGTAGGTCTGAATTTCTGATATCGTTTTATTTGTGAGATATTTCATAGTTCTGCATCATCTTTGACTCTCCCAATTCCTAATAACTAACACATCAATATCTAAAGGACTCTAATTTGCTTAGGCTGCATGAAAAACCACCCATAGATCTCAGTTTCTGCATCAACATTAGGAGCAATTCTGCGGTTACTTGAACAGATACATTCTTCCATTATCAATTTTAGCCTGAAACATTTTATTCTTGAATTCATTTTTACAGCAGTGTCGGAGAGAATAGATGAGCAAGAAGGTTTCAAGCTGCTTGGGACCACAGATTCTCGTGAACCTGAAAATGCAGTAGAAATACTCGAGGAAAGGGAGCAAAAGCTCTTATTTTATGAATCCACTCAGTTGGGAAGAGCAAGCAACTTGCGCAAAAGTTTAGATTGGGATAGTGGATTTTTCACCAGTGCAGGTATGGTTTTACAACAAATCTGAAATATTTGGTGCCTTGTTTCAATGTTAACTCATTTCATATGGTTAGAGCAAGTTAAAATTCGAAGTCATTAATGCTTCATGCGTGATCAGGACTCCTAGATCCAGAAGAGTTGTTTGCCATAAATAAAGGATTTGAGAAGGCTGAAGCTCACCTATTACCCGAAGTTCAAGAAGATCTGTGTAGGTGGAGATATGCGGACTCAGAATCTACATTAGACAGCGATGACTTCTCTTTGGACAGCAACCAAAGCACTGAGGTTGATTTGTTTGAAGGAATAAGAGCATCCATTAAGAAATCCAATATAATGTCCGATGTTTGCAAGTCAGGAGTTGGAGAAGCCCACAAACGGGATACCCACTGTAAGTATATTGCAAATTCATAACAAATCTTACTGTGAATGGAACAGGAAATTTTTTCCTGTTCATTTTGTATGTGAATTGCAATGTGATTGCATTTAAGGTATCCAAAAGAGATTTAATGGGTAATCAGGCCTTCCGCTATTGTTGCAGCAGGAAATATTGAAACCTCACTTGTCCCAAATTCTTTTCTTACTCTTAGGCTTAGTAAGCATAATATCTTAGGTTGGTACCTAGCCTTAGTGTCTTGTAAAAAATGTTATATGGTCTCCCTTTTTATGCATCTGTTTATCACAAATCTATGCTCAATAGCTATGGTTGCTTCTTTTCAGCCTTGAAGAAACTTGATGACATCTCTCGAATTGTTATATGGTCTCCCTTTGTATATTTAGAATTGTTATTGTCTTTCAATGATTTATGCACACTCTGTGCTTGCTATGACTCCTAGTAATTTGAAAAACAGTCTTCACAAAGTTACTTTTTAAATTTATATATGTTTATATATTGTCGTATCCTTGACATAATCCATATCTTACGTTTCCAGAATTTGTATCGATGTATCCATATTGTGTCATACCTCTGTCTTGTATCCCATTCCATGCTTTACAGATTGCAACTAGTCATTTAATCTCTGCCAATACAACACTTTGAATTTTTTTTGCGTGCCGTGACTTTTGGTAGTTTGAAATTAAGACTATTTGGTAGAGTAGAAAGTCAACACATACTTGATGTGGTTGAATATATCGTAGGGAAGCATTGCAACTCTTGATGGTAGTGGAGTTATATGCGGAACGTGAGACTGGAAGTAGAGAGCTTACATACTTTATGGTGGTTATGTAACTGTGTATATAAAATAACTACGTGACTCTCAAATGATTTGATTAATTATCGCCATCTGAATAAATTAATCAAATTTTATTGAACTTTTTCTAGAAATCCGAAGTTTGACTCGGCTTCGCCAAATTAGAGTGTTTCCTATCGATGTATCCATATTGTGTCATATCTCTATCTTGTATCCCACTATCCATGCTTTATAAATTGTCACTAGTCACCTAATCTCCGCCAATACAATACTTTGTACTTATGTCTTAAAGTGAGATAACATAAGTACATTGGAAGAAATACTCTGTAATAATCTGATTGTAGGTTATATAGTACGTGAACGATATTTCTCTGCTCCATGAAGGCATGTTTATATTCTAATTCTAATTTTCATGTCTTATTGTTTATCATAATGTTAAGATTAATAATCAATTCATTAGAATAGACCTGTGTTTCTTATTCTTCAGTTACTTTTGGGGATGGTAGCAAAATTTTAAGAACCTTAATATTTTACAGTAGTTCCCTTATGGTAGGTCTGAATTTCTAATATCGTTTTATTTGTGAGATATTTCATAGTTCTGCATCATCTTTGACTCTCCCAATTCCTGATAACTAACACGTCAATATCTAAAGGACTCTAATTTACTTAGGCTACATGAAAAACCACCCACAGATCTCGGTTTCTGCATCAACATTAGGAGCAATTCTGCGGTTACTTGAACAGATACATTCTTCCATTATCAATTTTAGCCTGAAACATTTTATTCTTGAATTCATTTTTACAACAGTGTCGGAGAGAATAGATGAGCAAGAAGGTTTCAAGCTGTTTGGGACCACAGATTCTCGTGAACCTGAAAATGCAGTAGAAATACTCGAGGAAAGGGAACAAAAGCTCTTATTTTATGAATCCACTGAGTTGGGAAGAGCAAGCAACTTGCGCAAAAGTTTAGATTGGGATAGTGGCTTTTTCACTAGTGCAGGTATGGTTTTACAACAAATCTTAAGTATTTGGTGCCTTGTTTCAATGTTAACTCATTTCATATGGTTAGAGCAAGTTAAAATTCGAAGTCATTAGTGCTTCATGCGTGATCAGGAGTTCTAGATTCAGAAGAGTTGTTTGTCATAAATAAAGGATTTGAGAAGGCTGAAGCTCACCTATTACCCGAAGTTCAAGAAGATCTGTGTAGGTGGAGATATGCGGGCTTAGAATCTACATTAGATAGCGATTACTTCTCTTTAGACAGCAACCAAAGCACTGAGGTTGATTTGTTTGAAGGAATAAGAGCATCCATTGAGAAATCAAATATAATGTCCAATATTTGCAAGTCAGGAGTTGGAGAAGCCCACAAACGGGATACCCACTGTAAGTATATTGCAAATTCAGAACAAATCTTATTGTGAATGGAACAAGAAATTTTTTCCTGTTCATTTTGTATGTGAATTGCAATGTGATTGCATTTAAGGTATCCCAAAGAGATTTAATGGGTAATCAGGCTTCCGCTATTGTTGCAGCAGGAAATATTGAAACCTCACTTGTCCCAAATTCTTTTCTTACTCTTAGGCTTAGTAAGCATAATATCTTAGGTTGGTACCTAGCTTTAGTGTCTTGTAAAAAATGTTCTATGGTCTCCCTTTTTATGCATCTGTTTATCACAAATCTATGCTCAGTATCTATGGTTGCTTCTTTTCAGCCTTGAAGAAACTTGATGAAATCTGTCGAATTGTTATATGGTCTCCCTTTGTATATTTAGAATTGTTATTGTCTTTCAATGATTTATGCACACTCTGTGCTTGCTATGACTCTTAGTAGTTTGAAAAACAGTCTTCACAAAATTACTTTTTAAATTTATATATGTTTATATATTGTCGTATCCTTAACATAATCCATATCTTACTTTTCCAGAATTTGTATCGATGTATCCATATTGTGTCATGCCTCTGTCTTGTATCCCATTCCATGCTTTACAGATTGCAACTAGTCACTTAATCTTTGCCAATACACCACTTTGAAATTTTTTTGTGTGCCGTGACTTCTAGTAGTTTGAAATTAAGACTATTTGGTAGAGTAGAAAGTCAACACGTACTTGATGTGGTTGAATGCATCGTAGGGAAGCATTGCAACTCTTGATGGTAGTGGAGTTATATGCGGAACGTGGGACTGGAAGTAGAGAGCTTACATACTTCATGGTGGTTATGTAACTGTGTATATAAAATAACTACGTGTCTCTCAAATGATTTGATTAATTATCGCCATCTGAGTAAATTAATCAAATTTTATTGAACTTTTTCTAGAAATCCAAAGTCTGACTCGGCTTCGCCAAATTAGTGTTTCCTAATTATAGATAAACAAAGAAAAATAGTCTATCCTAAAAGATTTATGACAATTACTTTTTAATTTATATATATTTTTATTTATGGTCATATCCTTTAACATAATCCATATCCTACTTTTTCAGAATTTGTATCGATGTATCCATATTGTGTTATACCTCTATCTTGTATCCCTCTATCCATGCTTTATAAATTGTAACTAGTCACCTAATTTCCGCCAATACAATACTTTGTACTTATGTCTTAAAGTGAGATAACATAAGTATATTTGAAGAAATACTCTGTAATAATCTGATTGTAGGTTATATAGTACGTGAATGATATTTCTCTGCTCCATGTAGGCATGTTTATATTCTAATTCTAATTTTCATGTCTTATTGTTTATCATTGTGTTAAGATTAATAATCAATTCATTAGAATAGACCTGTGTTTCTAATTCTTCAGTTACTTTCGGGGATGGGAGCAAAATTTTAAGAACCTTAATATTTTACAGTAGTTCCCTTATGGTAGGTCTGAATTTCGGATATCGTTTTATTTGTGAGATATTTCATAGTTTTGCATCATCTTTGACTCTCCCAATTCTTGATAACTAACACATCAATATCTAAAGGACTCTAATTTGCTTAGGCTGCATGAAAAACCACCCACAGATCTTAGTTTCTGCATCAACATTAGGAGCAATTCTGCGGTTACTTGAACAAATACATTCTTCCATTATCAATTTTAGCCTGAAACATTTTATTCTTGAATTCATTTTTACAGCAGTGCCGGAGAAAATAGATGAGCAAGAAGGTTTCAAGCTGTTTGGGACCATAGATTCGCGTGAACCTGAAAATGCAGCAGAAATACTCGAGGAAAGGGAGCAAAAGCTCTTATTTTATGAATCCACTCAGTTGGGAAGAGCAAGCAACTTGCGCAAAAGTTTAGATTGGGATAGTGGCTTTTTCACCAGTGCTGGTATGGTTTTACAACAAATCTGAAATATTTGGTGCCTTGTGCCAATGTTAACTCATTTCATATGGTTAGAGCAAGTTAAAATTCGAAGTCATTAATACTTCATGCGTGATCAGGACTTCTAGATCCAGAAGAGTTGTTTGTCATAAATAAATGATTTGAGAGGGCTGAAGCTCACCTATTACCGAAGTTCAAGAAGATCTGTGTAGGTGGAGATATGCGGACTTAGAATCTACATCAGATAGCAATGACTTCTCTTTGGACAGCAACCAAAGCACTGAGGTTGATTTGTTTGAAGGAATAAGAGCATCCATTGAGAAATCCAATATAATGTAAAAAGTCTCTACTGTGTCTATGATCCGTTGTCCTTCAAATGTTTCTCGTCAATTAAAAACTATTACTAATTAAATTTTGTTTCATGATTTTTCACATACTACTTGATTTGGAATTTCCACGATTACTTATGAACAACCAACTGATGGAATTTTGAGACACAGATTATATTAGTTCATAATAAAAATTATTTTGGTTGTCAAAGCGATTAACTTGGTTTTTTCTGACCATAATCTACAAATTTGCATGTCACTATTATCCACAGGACAATATTTATCATTCCAAAGCCAGAAGCTCAATTTCACTACAATAAAAAATTGGAAATGAAGGTAAACCCTCGGAATTTTTCATAATATGTATCAAGTTAGAACTGCACTGATCATTTACGCCACTGAACTTCAATTAAATCAATACACAAGTAATTTCTGCTTTGTCTTTCCATGGTGGAAAGATGACAATGATGATGAGCAGAGACTGGTAGCAACTGACATAAGTAAAGCCTTCTCTAGATCTTTAACTGCACCACGCTGAATCAATGAGACTATGTACTCCATGAAAATCGAATAACATGGCAATGTAATTGGTCCATCCCTTGGGAGCCCAAACTCTGCTTTGGACAACTTGAAGAGCTCTCTCGTGATCTCCTTGTTAAGATACGCTAGGGGAATCATGAAACGCTTTTGATCAGCGCTGTAGACAACAAAATGTCCCTTATCTGCCACGAATGAAGTACTACAGTTACTTGCAGTGTCCACATTTCTGTGAAATGAAATTCTCTTTGTCCTCGTGGCAGCAAACTTCTGCCACTTCCTTGCCATCTTGACGAGTTTCTTAGCACTGATCATGTTGTTGTGTTTAGAAATAAGAGGGAATAAAGATTTCAAGAGACTGAAATGCTAAAGATGCGAATGCAAATGGAAATGGTTTATATAAGAATGCCTGAGACAGTAGTGAAATTGTAGCTTTAAAATTGTTAGGATTGGTGGGTTGCAAGACCATGTGCTGGTTGGGTCGCAAGGGACCGCTGAGGGTGGACATGTTTGGCTACTTGGTTTTGTTCTGAAATCAAAACAAACATATGTGGTTTATCTCTTCAAATATGATTAGTGGTGTTTATAAGTTTGTACATGGTTATATCATCAAATATGCTAAGTGGTTTCAAAACATCACGGCCCAATCAGTTTTGCTTTCAGTTCATGTAATTCACAAAACCATACGTGGGTACAGTGGTACACAGAAACAATGACAAGTGCTTAAGGCACAGGAATGGTGATCATTGATAACACGTTTGGTCAGACAAGCGGGCAAGGTTTCCGAATCTCTGCTGAGGGGTCCAATTGAGTCGCTTCCAATAAAAATGCGACAAAAGAGGCATATTTTCAATTTTTGCTTTCCAAAACTTGTCAGCAATGATAGTTTACTGTAATAGCTTTGGGGTTTTTAATGTGATTGACATAAGAGGATATATGGAAGTTGCATATGATTTGTACTAGTTATTTGCTGCAGCTATATTTGATGAATGAATTCTTAAGTGGTTCAGGAATATATCAAAAATCTTTTACCAGCGAGATTGTAACATAGGAAATACAATGTAAATAATCTGATGAGGTTCCAGAAATGATCGTTATATTGAAATCTCAAAGGGTGATTTAAATGACAGGCTCAATTTAGAGTCTTCATGACATGTTTCAGGACCTTTATGACAAAACCAGAAAATAAAATATCCCAATGACTTGAATTCAGATGATTTCAAGAACAAATGTTACAACAAGTTCTTAATAACAAAAATTGTTCTTTGTAAGTTCGAGAGTTTTTTTTAAGTCATGAAACAGTGCTACATGATATCCTGTGCCCAACCATGATAGTTACCGAAGTTGTTTCACTCAATCCATAATATACAATTGGAAAGAACCAAACATGGATAAATTTTTGGATTTTCAAAGTATGTATGACCCTATATTAAGTTGTGATTGTTACATACAAAATTTGCACAATAACATTACAAATTAACCACAAAACAAACATCTACTTGTTTGCTCGTTTCTTGTTGAGTACAAAAGGTAAGGTGCCTCTACTGCCAACAACCGAAAAGACCAAGGCTTGCTCTAAATCTTGCTCTAAATCTTGAGCTAAACCTCTCCGGACAAGTGAGAGTATGTAATCTATAAAAACTGCATCACATGGCAACATAATAGGCCCATCTCTTGGTAGTCCAAATTCTTCTTCAGACATCTTGAAGAGCTCTCTGAAGACAGTGTTGTGGAGATACGCCAAAGGAATCACAAACCGCATTTGATCGGTTCTGTATACAACAAAATGTCCTTTATTACACCTGTCGGTGTCCATAGTAGTCCCTTTGGTTCTTGATAAAGAAATTGTTTTCCTTCCAATGGCCAGCGCTATCTTCTGCCATCTCCTTGCCATTTTCGTGAGCTTCTTGGGGCTTATGATCACACTGTTTTTCCTTCTTTTCTTTTTTTTCTTTTTTTTCTTTTTTTTTTTTTGGGAGGGGGGGGTGGGTGTGGGGGAGACAAGAGTTTAGAAGGAACAACATGAAAGGAGATTTGGGTCTTAAAACACTGAAAAGGTGTTGATGTGTTGAGTGGTATGAACTATTTATATACAAAGCTTTGAGAAACAATGGTTGCTGTTGTTTTTATTTTTTTACTTTTATGTTGGGACTCATACTATGTGATTAGTTGTACTAAAAATGTGTACGGTTGCGGAATAAACCACACACAAAAGCAACATGAATCGATCACATATAAGAAAAGCACCACACAAATTTAGGTGGTCCAACAAGATTATTTTATTAAACGAAAATAAGAGATGAATACAATGCGATTGTTTGGATAGACAACAATAATATATATGTTAGGGTTTTTATTAACAAATTATTAGTAATACCCTTAATAAAATTCATCTTCGAAGTATAGTCTTCGTCCAACTCCTGCCAACTCGCTGCAGAGTTGGATCCAGTATTAATTAGGCTTCACAAACCTAACAATTGGCATGTCCATTAAGTCTTGTGCAATTAACCCGAAAAGAGGAAGGATAAGAAAAGGTAAATTGTAAGATGAAAAGGATAGAGGGGAGAAACCAACATATACCAATTATCTTTAGAGGGCAGCCACAGGAGCAAGCCCCTACCCATTGGGAGCCGAACAAGAGGGGCTAAATGGACCTAACAATGCGAGGAAAAGCATATAGGTGATTCACAACATGAGGAATTTACATTCTTTTTCAAGATAGACTTAAGCCATAGACTAACGTAAGATATATCAATAAAGAGTCTCACCCCAAGCATTGCCCTAGAGACTCAAGTCCATGTCCTACCAAATTATATGGAAATTTTCATAAAGTGGTTTATTACTAATTTATGGCCCAAAGGACAACGTTGAGTTTGCTATGCAGGGTACTTCAGAAACACCATTTGATGAAGCTTTTATTGTGTGTTGGGATTCATGGGCAGCAAACCATGTGAATTTAATTATATCTTTGAGTACATACGCGTCTTGGGCAGGTTTGTTGAGGTTGGACGACAATCATTGCATCAAAGGGTATGCAAAACAGGGCATTAGGTTTTAGATCACAAAATAAATAAACGAAGTAATCAAGAAAGATTCAGCTCTGTTGCTGGTGCTGTTTCATGGCTACTAACCACTGAAAATCCATTATTGGGTGCAGGGTGGAGGCTGCATAGGGCGAGGGAGGTCACGTGCCCCCTTCAATTTTGATTTTTTTTTTTTTATTATTGTTATGTATAAAATGTGTTCTCTTTTTTTCTTAACATGTTTTTTGGCTAAGAATTTATTATATTGTTCACAACAAGTAGTTATTTGATACTTTAGGAACATTATGTGCAGGAGTGGAGATAAAGAGGAGCCAAGGGGTCACATGCCCCCCTGGGTTTTGGTTTTTTTTTTTTTTGTTTTATTTTTTACCAAATATAAAGAAAATATATTTTTTTAAATTATAAAAACATTATTTAGAGTGAAATGTCAATGACATTTTTAAAATTATGAGAACTATAATGATTGTTTTGATTGAAAATTAAAAGATTACGATAAGTTATATTATTATCTATGAAAAATTTATAATTTTTTTAATGTAATGGTGATATCTATTATTATTAAGCATAATTAATCTTATTATAAAGATATATAATTTATTAGATTGTTAGTTACATTTAACTTGTGAGGTTCACTCTCCATGTGTTTCTTTATTATTGGTTGCTGATATCACATATTAATGGTAATGTAGTATTACAATTATATTGATTTTTTACTCAAATTTTATATAAAAAATTACTTTATTATTATATAATTTATTTTAAGGCTTATATTCATAACTTTTTTTGTATTGTCCATGATACATTAGTTACAAATAACATCATTTTTTTGATCTTTCTCAAAGTCAATCGTAAAAATTTATGTGAAATATTTTTGAAAAAAAATTCAATATTATAATTAATAAGTGTCCCCTCTGATTTAATTTTTTAGCTCTGCCACTGACTATGTGGTATTATTTCTATAGTAGTTTAAATCAATAGTGTAGCGAAAAATATTTTAAATTGGATATAATGAACTCATTATTTTCAAGTAGTTGACATACCACTTAGTGTGATTTGTGATTTTCTATGCTTTGAGCATCATGTAGATAACGCTATATGGTACTCTGAGACTGTTTAATAATTTTCATTCAAAACACATCATTTATAAGCAATGTCATATCTTTAATATTTTTCTATCAAATAAAAATTAAATAGATTTTATAATAATTTGTGCTATAAATGAGAGTTTTTTTTTTTAATATTCTAAAAAAAAACTATTTAGAGAATTGTCCTATTTTTCAAACTATTTGGAAAACTAACCTGTTTTTGAAATCGCATTTTGAAAATGCGATTTTGAAATTGAAATTGAATTTTCAATATGGAATTTCACATAGAACATGCGATTTCATCATATCATCATAAATTGCATTTTCAACCTGTGATTTCAAGATGAAATTGTATATTGAAAAAGTAATTTCAATTTCAAAATCGTATTTTTAAAATGCGATTTCAAAAACTAGGTTTCCCAAATAATTTGAAAAGTGTGTCCTATAAATGATGTGTTTTTATTTTTTAAAATTAGGAATTTTGATTCATAATTTTTTGTGCTAAAATTATAAATTTACATCATCATCCCGTATCGAGCTATTATACACTATTATAAAATTTTGATTTGTTCTTGTTAATAATGATTTTTAATTTCGTATACTTAAATTTAGCTCATAAAATTATTATTATCTTAATATTGATCATGATTTTTTTTTTAAAATAAAAAATTATAATTAATAAGTGAAAAATTCTAGAAAAATACAGAAAAAATTCTATTGACGTCATTTTTATATCAAAACTTTCCTTTAAAAATTCATTTTTTTAATTTTTTTGTTGAAAAAGAGTGAATAGCTTTGAATGCTAGGCATGTTGATTTTCAGTTCACAAGAGTCTTTTTCAAGTACAGCTTAGGACCTGCAAGTACTCTCTCACCTAAGACTTCATTGAAATTGTTGGCCTAATTAGACACCATCTTGCACGGCTATCTGAATTGAAATCAGGTCCAAAAGAAGCAAATTTAAAATGACCTCAAATGGCAACTTCATCAAGAACAAAACTTAAAAAAATTCTAATAAATTGCATAGTAAATTACTAATTACTCACAAGATCGTGTTTGGTCCATACCAATGTGGATGTGAGACTTCCACCACATTAATGTAGATAAGATTTTTCCAAATACATATTATTTGTCCCAAAACATTTTATTTCGAGTTCTTCAAAATAAATCAACTTATTTGGTTTTTTCAGGATTTACCTTCCAGAAATTTAAATTTTTTTATTTTTCATATTTTTTTATTGACTTTTTTAATATTTTAAGTAATATTTTTTTAATTTTTAGATACACCTAACATAAATACACTTAAAATATATAATATTTGTAAAAAAAATATTTTATAAATTCATTAAATATAAAAAAATACGAAAATTCAGTACATTTTTGTATTTTTGTATATTTATTAATTTTTAAAATATTTTTTTTTACAAATGTATCTAAAAAAGTTTTAAAAATTGTTTAAAATTTTAAAAATATTCACTAAAAATAGAAAAACACAAAAAATAAAAATTTAATTTCTAGAAAATTGAAACCAAACGCAATAAATAAATCTATAAACCGAGAAACCGGTCACGGAATCAGTTACATATGACTAAGATTTTTTTTATAAAAAATAGACCATTCTAATAACTCTATAAAATCTTATTAATTTATGTGTATTATCACATAAAATCTTAGGGTGAAGCACCAATAAATCCCAAAATATGATCTTGTGAATTATTTAGTCCTTTATTTTTTCTTATGAATCTAAAAGTCCCATTCAAAGGGAAATTATACAAAATGGTAGTCATTTACACATTTAGGTTTAATTTTTGAGGAATAAAAATGGGTTTATTTAAATATGAAATTTCAAATTTGGACAATCTGCACTATAGAGGGTAATTCTATTTCCACACATCCACTTATCTCAGTGTACA